TGTCAACTTTAATGTGGATCATCAAGGATTTACTGTCATTCCCAGAGCTCCGTTTCCATCCAATGCTATTCTTTGATTTGTGGAGATACCAAAGTCCAAACCTGAAAAATATCCAATTAGTCAAATCACTTTCTTCTTCAACAATTGCTTTATAGCCATTCTAGTAAAATATTACAACTTCACTGATATAACTTGGTCCCAATATATGTATACATATATATATATATTATGAAATGGACAAAGTCCGACAATTATTTTAAAACATTTTCATGTTTATACATTCTTTTTATGGATACAAATATTTAAGTAAATGCTCTGTTTATAATAAACAGTATGAAACAACATTTACCGGCCTGAATGTCCGAGAAATTTTCATAGAAAATAGTCATTCTCCGACAGGAATCAAACTTGTATCCTATACTGAACCATCATTTAGCCTGACATGCCTTAACCAGTCGATGTAAGATTGAAGCTTAAAAATAGTAAAATCAACCTTGCTAATCGAACGATTCTCTGAGGCTCGATTGGTTAAGGCACATCAGGCTAAATGACGGTTCCATATAGTATACAGGTTTGATTCCTGTCGGAGAACGAATATTTCCTATGAAAATTTCTCAGACATTCAGGCAGGTAAATGTTATTAATATTGTTTATTATAAAACAGAGTATTTACTTAAATATTTGTATCTATAAAACAATTTATAAACATAAAATGTCTTAATATATATATATATATATATATATATATATATATATATATATATATATATATATGATATGATATAACGATATGTAATTTTTTTATAGTTTTAATATATAAATAAACAGTATTTAGAAAGGCAAACTGACAAACTGGAAAATTTCTTTTGACGTGTTTCATCTGTTAGGATTTCATTGGACTCGTTTTTTTGATGTTTCCATGAAACGAGAGATGCAGGTAGTTTCAAAATTTTTGTTTCAATCTAGCCAAATTCTTTTTCTTTTTCTCCATCACTTTTTTCCCTAATTATCCCACACTGTGACAATATAAAATCTACCAAGAATGGTGATATATTGTAAGAGTCTGGATGCAAATTTACTGTGGCTGAACTAATGATCAAGTCACATTCCAGACATTTTCATCTCAGTGCATTATTTTTCTTTTGATCAAAGTAGCATTCCCTATGTCTAAATTGTGGTCTATTTTCGGTGATATATATATATATATATATATATATATATATATATATATATATATATATATATATGTATGTATATGTATATATGCATCGTCGTCAGCATCCGTCCATCTCAGGAGACGATGGAGTAGCGCTAGTGTGCTAAGAGCATGGGCAGGATATATAGAGAACTAGGGCTGCTCGTACATCTGGTTCCCCCTCTCAGCCTTGCTAGCAGAATCCAAAGGAGAGGATAAGAGGTACCAGCGCAGCTGCAAGAGTTGCCGGAAGGTAACACAGAGTGCCATCTATCTGCCTTAGGGGCTTCACTCCAGATTTGTGTAGGGTTTACTCCTTGGCCTTTCCTTCTTCTGAAGATTTCCACAAGGCAGTGGCGCTATTTAACCCATAGCTGGGGTTGGTTCATGGGCATCAGGGCATGTCGACATACTGGTGTGCCTGCATGCCACATGTTAAGGGGGCCAACTCCTCCTCCGTCCCCTATAGTTTAGCCCGAGTCCACAAGGCACTTCATAGGGCTTGCTGATGGAGAGGCTATATACTGGCAGGGGAAGACTTACGCACTCCGCTGCCTTTTTCGCATTTCTGCTAGCCAGCGGCAGTAACTGAAAGCGAGAAGCAACAAGCACTACCACTACAGACTACCATACTAGACGCATCACAACAACCGTTGAGACACATATATATATGCATATGGCCTGACAATTTAGCATGAAACAGGCTGTCACTCATCTCTCTCTCTCTCTATATATATATATATTTGATATTTAATTATAATAGTAATATACATACTTATATTTGATATTTAATAATAATGTTTAAATAATTAAATAATTCTATTACATTTATTTGTTTTAAAATGAAATGTAGTCTATTAGTAATTAAAAATAAAAATATTATTGTAAAATTGTAGTTCAGTACAACATATTCTAATCCAAACACCCCTTTAGAAAGAATCCTTACGTATACAAGTATAAATTTAATGGATAAAAATGCCGAAAAACTTTTTCTCAGTTATAAAAACAGACAACATGCATTGAACGGATGTCATAATTTGTGGAAAAATGCACCCCTACCATACCTAGGCATAAACTCTTTTTTAAAGTAACTCAAATTTGATACAATAGTTGTTAATAAAAATGATCACACTACTGCCCCTGTCTAAATGATTGAACTTTTCTGTATCCTTGGAAACAAATATTATGAATGTATGTGCTTTTAAAACTCAGTAAATTTCAAAATAAGCTATTCCAAAATTCATGTGAAAATGAAACAGAACTAGTGCTTTTAATTTAATTAAATGATTGAATTTGAAGTTGTTAGTTTCTGTTTTTGAAACATGGTAATTCCTGTGTAGCAAAGGGACCATATTTTTAAATCAGTTAATTTATAATATTTATACTCTGTGAATTTAAATTGAGCACTGTTTTGTAAAAACAAAAATAAAAATATCAATAAGAACACCGGATTATATATCTTTCTTTTTACTATAAAATATATATATATATATATATATATATATATGTATATGCATATGACCTGACAATTTATCATGAAACAGTGTGTCACCTCTAGATGCTGACTTCAATGTCGACTTTTCAATGAGCATTTTAACACATAAATATAGCCTACCTTAAAACTATATTTTATCATATAAATAATATGATAACTTGTACGCATATGAGTTTGTGACCTTGGGTTTCATGCTTTTACAATCATCAGATGAATTGGGTTATTTATTAAAAATTGGATCTATTTATGCTTGTTTGACTATGGTGGCAGGAATGGCCATCTACTTCTGTGTTCATTTGGGGTGGCATTATCATATCCATAAACAAATACATATGGATGTATGCATTTTAGTACACACCAACACAAACATATAAGCAATTTGAGGCTAGGCACAGATACATATCTGTGCATTAGGGCATACATACATACGCAGTTGTAATTCTATTTTGGTGTCAGGACCCTAGCTTTTTATCTGTAGTGATGTTTGTTTCAACAAAGACCAGGTAGGGATGTTCTTAATGTTTTTTAGATCTATAGCACGAACTGTCAGAGAATCTTACACTTCCCCACACATACACATACACACATGTGTAGATGCACACATACACTATTATTGGTCTGGGCCTTTCTACCACCACTTTGGTTAAGCTGGGTTCTGTTTGCGGTCATGGTGGTGATGATGTTTGTATTTTCAATGCTGTTTGTGTGCTGTTGATGATTGTGATTATGTTGGTAGTGATAACAGATGTGATATAAATTATTATTGATAATCTTTGTGTTAGCAGTAACTTTAGCCTTAATGATGGAATCATAAAATTCCATCATTAAGGCTAAATTTATGGGAAATTAGCTTTAATGACAGAATAATGAATTAAGGCTAAGTTTAGTATTTAATAAACTTTTCCTTTGTTTCCCCTACCTAGCCCTCTGTTACTTCGATATTCTCTCTAACAACGGTCTTCCTAATTCTTGGCTATTTCATACAAAGACAATGTTACAACTCTCCAGAGATAATAGCTACACATTCTTGGGTGCACTATTTATATTATTCAGAGTATTGTCCTCATCTTTCTTGCCATATTTATTACAACGTTTTGGCTGTTGTACACTCCGGCCTTCTTGAGGTATTTGGTATGTCAAACTGAACCCTTTATTTTGCTCACTGGGGTAGACTGTTCCATGTACCATGTCTAATGGATGTCAGTTATCAGTTATCTCCTGTTAATTCCCCTCTCCAAGTTCTCCACTGCCTTAACTGGGTATTGAACTCACACTCTTTGGGTTTTGTCACTGGATCCAACCAGTAAGCAAAATAAAGGGTTCAGTTCGACATTCCAACTACCTGAAGAAGGACAGAGCATACAATGGCCGAAACATTGTAATAAATATGGCGACAAAGATGAGGACAATAGTCTGAATAATGTAAATAGTGTACATAATACCTCATCTCAGAAATATAGACAGATACTGAAAAGCCGAAACATTGTAGTAAATATGGTGACAAAGATGAGGACAACAGTCCGAATACTGTAAATAGTGTACATAATACCTCATCTCAGAAATATAGACAGATACTGAAAGGCTGAAACGTTGTGATAAATATGTTGACAAAGATGAGGACAATAGGCCAAATAATGTAAATAGTGTACATAATACCTCATCTCAGAAATATAGACAGATACTGAAAGGCTGAAACGTTGTGATAAATATGTTGACAAAGATGAGGACAATAGGCCAAATAATGTAAATAGTGTACATAATACCTCATCTCAGAAATATAGACAGATACTGAAAGGCTAAAACGTTGTAATAAATCTGGTGACAAAGATGAGGACAATAGTCCGAATAATGTAAATAGTGTACATAATACCTCATCTCAGAAATATAGACAGATACTGAAAGGCTGAAACGTAATAAATATAGCAACAAAGATGAGGACAATATTCCGAATAATGTAAATAGTGTACATAATACCTCATCTCAGAAATATAGACAGATACTGAAACGTTGTGATAAATATATCGACAAAGATGAGGGCAGTAGTCCGAATACTGTAAATAGTGTACATAATATCTCATCTCAGAAATATAGACAGATACTAATTATAGACACATTCTTGGGAATAATACTGAAGTAGTTTCCTGTTGCTTTCTCCACATTTTGAAATTCAAAGTTTTCCTTTTGGTTTCCAACGAAGGCTACAGAACTTAGGTTTCCTTTAATTTAAGCCATTGCTTATGTAGAAGTGAATGCATCAAATTGGGTGGGAATTTGAAACTGGTCTGCTGGTTTCACTTTCTGCATTGATATCTAATGATGATGATGATGATGATGAAGAAGAAGAAGAAGAAGAAGAAGAAGAAGAAGAAGAAGAAGAAGAAGAAGAAGGAGGAGGAGGAGAAGGAGGAGGAGAAGAAGAAGAAGAAAATAAGCTGAAAAAGAAAGAAATAATAAGAAAGAAAAGAAGAAGAAAATGAAGAAGATGAAAAAAAGAAAACAAAGAAGCAAAAGAAAAATAATAATAAAAAGATGAAAAAAAGAAGAATTTTAAATTAGGTAAAAGAAATGAAGAATGAAATATGGTGAAAAACAAGTAGAAAACGGGAATTGAAGCATTAGGAATTGTGGTACAGAAAACCAATAAAAAAGATTTTTAAAGAATGAGAAACAGAAGTAATATTGCTACTACTACTACTACTGCTACTACTACTACCACCACCACCACCACCACCACCACCACAGCTATGAGCATAAAATTGGAAAACAGCAAAGAAAAGATGCAAAAGTCTTCTTAGAGAATTTCCCTAGCTGTTATATATCATTCGGAAGAATCCACCCATCACTAACCTTCCTTGATATTTGTTTCCATTCTGATCTCACAGTAATGTTTGCTTAATCCACTTTACATATATTTGCATAACCATAGTGTTTGTCATTGTGGTCAAAAATTTACTGCCATTTAACTTAATAAATTAAGATCACAATGTTGGTATGGAATGTTCCTTCCCAAAAGAATAAAAGATTGAATAAAAAGGAAAAATAAAGGAAGAATTCAAAGAATTAGAAATTGAGAATCTAATGCTGGATATATTTTATTTGACTAGACACAAGTTCCTGATAATTATAAGATATATGTGTGCATTGTATATATGTGTGCATTGTATATATGTGTGCATTGAAGTGCAGTGATGTTAAAGAGAAAAAAATGTAGGATAAAATAAAGAATAAAAACAATAAAAAACAACTGAAATATTTGTTTGATAAAACCAATGGTGTCATTCGGTGTTAATGTTCTAAGGAAAAGACTTGAATCTAAATCTCCCTGTAGAAGGTCTTAGATATTTTCAATTTGTTTGAGGACACTTGTTTCACAAAAGTAATACTCTAAAAAGGGAAACAGCAGTTTAAATCTTTCAAAATTCAGTCCCCAGGGAGGATTTATGTTTTAAGATGAAGATATTTTATAAAGGATGAAAATGAAATGATAAAAAATAATCAAAAATAATAAAGAATGAATTGGGATAAAAAGTAACAAAAGAAAGAAAGAAAGAAAGAAAGAAGGTTAAATGAACAGAGAAAAAATATCAAAACAAAGAAATGATAAAAGAAAAGAAAAACCAATGAAAAATACAAAGAAAGGCAAACAAAATACAGAAATAAGAAAGAAAGAAAGAAAAAAAAGAAAGCATGAAAAGAGAAAACAATAAAAAAACACAAAGAAAGAAAAAAAACAAAAAATAAAGAAAAGAAAGAATGAAAGCATGAGAAGGAAAACCAATGAAAAAATACAAAGAATGAAAAGACAAAAATAGAAACAAAAGGGAGAAAGAAAGAAAGCATGAAAAGGAAAAACCACTGAAAAAATAAAAAGAAAGAGAAAACAAAATAGAAAAAAAAAGAAAGAAAGCATGAAAAGAAAAACCAATGAAAAAATACGAAAAAAAAGAAAAATGATAAAAAGAAAGAAAGCATGAAAAAATCAATGAAAAAATACTAAGAACAAAAAAAAAAAAAATAGTTTTTCTATTTCAGTGAAAGAGAGAAAGAAAATTGAAAGGAAAAAGAGAAAAAACCTGAACAAAGAAAGAAAAAATATTCTAAAAAAGATAAAGTACTTGAAAAAAAATATTGAAAAAAAGACAGAGAGAGAGTGAGATAAAAAGAGAGAAAAAAAAACAGGGAAAAGAAAAGAAAGGAGACAAAAAAGAAAAAAAAATTGAAAAGAAAAAAATTAAAATAAATTTAAAGAATTTAAATTCAACAAATCTGGGAAACTTCATGGAGAATTTCTTTTTTTCATTTTGTTTTTCACTCTTGCCACTTGTAAAAATAAAATAAGCAAATAAATAAATATCTCTGCAACAAAAAATCCTAACGAAGCAGAGAAATAATGCAAAAAAATCAGTAAATGAATTCATTTAAATTGTGCTATATTTTTTAAAAAATTTTATACATACCTGAAAAATGAATTTATCAACTGAATTGGCATATGGAAAGATATAATGGCAGATTTCAAATTAAAATTGAAGAATCTCTATAAGGAGGACTTCCTTCCAGATGGTGAAATGAGAATGGAATGAAGGGATCGTGAAGAATCTCTATAAGGGGGACTTCTTTCAAGACGGTAAAATATGAATGGAATGAAGGGATCGTAAAGAACCTCTATAAGGAGGACTTCCTTCCAGATGGTGAAATAAGAATGGAATCAAGGGATTGTGATGGATCTCTATGAGGGGACTTCCTTCCAGACGGCGAAATAAGAATGGAATCAAGGGATCGGGAAAAAAATCTATAAGGGGGACTTCCTTCCAAACAGTGAAATATAAATGGAATGAAGGGATCATGACGAATCTCTATAAGGGGACTTCTTTCCAGACAGTGAAGTAAGAATGGAATCAATGGATTGTGATGGATCTCTATGAGGGGGACTGCCTTCCAGATGGTGAAATAAGAATGGAATCAAGGGATCATGAATAATCTCTATAAGGGGGACTTCCTTCCAAACGGTGAAATATGAATGGAATGAAGGGATCGTGACAAATCTCTATAAGGGGACTTCCTTCCAGACAGTGAAATAAGAATGGAATCAAGGGATCGTGAAGAATCTCTATAAGGGGGACTTCCTTCTAAACGGTGAAATATGAATGTAATGAAGGGATTGTGACAAATCTCTATAAGGGGACCTCCTTCCAGACAGTGAAGTAAGAATGGAATCAAGGGATTGTGATAAGGGGGACTTCCTTCCAAACAGTGAAATATGAATGGAATGAAAGGGGGACAAATTCCTTCCAGACAGTGAAATAAGAATGGAATCAAGGGATTGTGATGGATCTCTATAAGGAGGACTTCCTTCCAAACAGTGAAATATGAGGGATGGAATGAATGGAATGAAGGGATCGTGACAAATCTCTATAAGGGGACTTCCTTCCAGACAGTGAAGTAAGAATGGAATCAAGGGATTGTGATGGATCTTATGAGGGGGACTTCCTTCCAGATGGTGAAATAAGAATGGAATCAAGAGATCATGAATAATCTCTATAAGGGGGACTTCCTTTCAAACAGTGAAATATGAATGAAATGAAGGGATTGTGAAGAATCTCTATAAGGGGACTTCCTTCCAGACAGTGAAGTAAGAATGGAAAGGGATTGTGATGGATCTCTATGAGGGGGACTTCCTTCCAGATGGTGAAATAAGAATGGAAAGAAGGGATCATGAAGAATCTCGATAAGGGGGACTTCTTTCCAAATGGTGAAACATGAATAGAACAAAGTGATCATGAAGAATCTCTATATTGAGTACTTACTTCCAAACTGTGAAATAAGAATGCAAAGGGAAACTCTTTAATTTGAACTTCTTTCTTTCCAAATGAATAACTAAGGAATGATTTTTCTTTTCATATACTATTTACACAATGGGAAAGTTTGGTCAATGAAAGATGAATGTGTGTTATGTTCTAGAGATTTGCTTCAATCAATGCTATTTCAGTCTCTCTTTCTACCTGTGTCTTTCTCAAACACACATTTATATTGTTGGCATTTGAAGTAGTACATTGATATATCTGCAGTGAGAGCTGCAAATAACTTACTAAATAACCCCCGACCCTTATTACTAGACTATGTTGTAGTCAGTGGAACCAAAATAACTAATAATTAATAATAGAAAAATTAGCTAAGCAATAAAATACAGACAAGTATGGTAATTAACAATAAAGAAAGAAAAAGTTATATAATAAAAAATTATTTAAATAATTATAGAATGATGCATCAGAACAAGTATTTTACCACAAAATGAACCAAAAATTAAAACTTTCTTTTTGTTTTTTGATGACTGAATGATTCAGATATTTTGGACAGTCCTACGATAAAATATGTTGCCACTAACAGATAAGCAAAACTTCTTTATTTCAAATATGCAATCATTTCTCTAAAATTATACTAAAGAATTTTATAAAAAAATTACATTCAGACAAGGCCCACACATCACCAGAAGAGCCACCACAACAAGTTTATATCTTGGATCATAGTTATTAAATGAATTTTGATCTGAGACTTTCACTGTATAATGTACGATTTATGTGATTAAAAAGTAAAATATTTTCAAAGTCAAATTCTGAAAGATCAGCTCATGTCGACTTTTATTTATTTATTTTTTAATCATTCTGGTTACCATCTGTTATTTTATCTCTTGTTACCATTTAAAGAAACAATGTTCTTTGAATGTCATTCTTCTAGGCTATGCGTGTGCTGAATTCTCTGAAGGTAATCCCTTTTGAGACATTATTGCAAGTGGGGCATATTGCGAGTCTGATTTCAATGAATGCATATTGTATTTTGATAAATAAGTTGGCCTTTCTCTTTTGTTCCTTAACCCTGTCTCATGAATTTACCATTTAGAATAAAATCTATCCTACATATGTTGTTTTCTACACAGACCCATTCCACCCCCATAACCATACAAACCAAATAAATTCAATAAGTATAAAACAAAAAAGGAATAAAATAAAAGGTTGTCGACAAGCATATAATTTGCACCAGAGCAGGCAAAAGTTTTTATTTCATTTTTTTTATGCAAATTTTCTGACTATTTTTATCGATTTTATTTACTTTGGCACTCATTTTATTTACTGACTTTTAAAAATAAATAAATTTTACGAAACTTAAAGTTCAAATGGTTCAGGATTTTAAAAGAAAACAAAACAAAAAAAAAATGAAAACAATAAAAAATGTTTTTCAATTTTTATCAATTACCTTGATAAGTAAAATAAAATTAATTTAATTATTTATTAATAGTGATTTATTTTAGATCAACTTCTAAATAATATAACTTTTACTGCATTTCTTGTCTGAGATTAAACTTCACAAATTTGAAAATTTAATTACAAGTTTTTGGAAAAAAATGAAAGAATTTCCCAAATAATCAATTGTAAATAATTAATATTGGATTAGAAAATAAGAAAAACTAGTATATACCTTTTAAACCGACTTTTGCACAAACATTTTTTTTTGTACATTTTTTATTTTAATTAGTACAGAAGTCCCTCAGTTAGCCCTACTCTTCAGATTTTATGTGTTTTTATATTAATGACCTTATGAATCCTTCAGGCTTACGATCATATCACATTGAAACACTGTTCCTAGTATGAAGTTAAGTAACATCAAGCCTGGTTAGTACCTAGAGGAGTGACCACTTTGGAATACCTGGTACTATAAGTCTGGATGTGCAGCTAGAAATGGGAAATCAGAGAGTTGAGTTCCAATTTCACTCACGTTATCATACTCATTTATGTACAAATACCATTGGGAAATGTCTGAATTCATCTCTTCTCCCCCCACCTATAGGTCTGTTGGGATCTGCCTACCAAGGTTTTAGTTGCAATCTGAGTGTTGGGATTTCACACATTTAATAACAACAAACACATCTGGCATCTTGTTTACAGTCACTCTCTCACGGATGTGCCGTCACCTCCTCCTGTCTTTTCTACAAATACTTTCACACTAACTGTTCCCAAACTGCATGAATTTAAACATGCTACTAACTTGGCATTTCAGCCTTACCCTTTCACTATTGAAACAGTTAAATGTAGTCGTCTCTTCTACTCCAATAACTTCATATCTTTCACTTCCCTTCTGTGGAACTCCCTTCCTCTTACTTGCTTCCCTGATAACTATAATATGCAACTATTCAAATGCAAAGTCAATCGACATCTCCAGATGCCTTGATCTATTCTATGTCCTTCTCTTCATCCTTTCCACTATCATGCCTCTTTACTCTTGCTCCCACACTCTGTAACCCCTTGCGTGCTAGTGGCACTCCCATCTTGCTTGGGGTGAAAAGCTTAAAAAGAATATATATAAAAGGCTATTTTCTGGAGGAAAAGTAAAAATAGAATGTCACTTGAAATGATATTTATATATCTTTTTTAGAAAGGCACAATAGCAATAACATGTTCAATTTTCCTAGTGAAATTTGTTTTATAAAGTAATTAAGTATTCTTAGTAATTTCTGATTTGTGTGAACAGACTTAATGATGTGTTTGTGAGTTTGTAGACTAAGGCTTAGCAGGTGGTTGCTGGTCAATCGCTTCTATTGTGTGCATGGACAAGGCTTTAGTTGGTGGCTGCTGCCTGTCTCTTTTTCATCATGTCTGTGTATGTGGGTACTTGTGTGTGTATACACATGTAGATCAAACTAGTCCCCCAAATTGTTGCGAGCCCCGAGAAGCAGTAGGCTTATATTTTCTTATCTGTAAGGGGATTCAAAATCTCATTTCATATAAAGGTGTGAACTTTTTAAATACAAAGTTTTCATTGGTTAGAAAATAATTTCACACTGACTCAAGAAAATCGTGGTGAAGGGATTTATTATTGTTATTTTCTAAATGGTCCAAAAATAACATGTGGTAGTTCTACAACTCAGCCTGCAAGTATTTTGGCAGTATTTTCCCTTGTAATTATCATTTATTAAACAAACCTTCTTATGGAAATTTATTGGTTGAAAAATATAATTCTATAGGTTAATTGGTAAGATTTGTATCAATAAATCAATATCATCTCAAAATTTTCTTACAACCTAAAAATGCTTTCTGGCTTTATTTAACCTGCTAAAGGTTGATAAACTGTGAAAAAACAAATCAATCACACAGTCAAATTATAAGGCCTTCAATAACCACTTCTCTTTAGATCAAATTTGTTTTAAACACAAAGTGGGTTTTGAAAGAGGGGACAACAATTATATAACAAAAAACTTGGAATTTTTACAGAAATTAACATTTTTCTTAACATATTTCCTTGGAAAGTTAGGAGTGAAATAAGTAAATAAGCAACTCATATGGATGAATGCTGAATATTTTTTCTGTGTTGTCTTCTCTGCTGAACTTTCAAGGTTACAATAATTTTTAATTTTTGGCACCTTATTCTGATTAGTACAAAATTTCTTCCAGAGTCCTGTTGATTGGACAAAACTAATTTCATCATTGTTTGTAAGTTTTTCATTTTTTTAGCACTATGTTGGTCATAATGATCATATTGGTATATACACAGATGAAAGAAACCAAAGTTAAGATTGAAAAAATAAATTAAACCAATCATTTGAGCCACTGAATTCTTCTAAGTTCTATATTTTAAAAAAAATGAAAAACCATTTCTAAGTTGAATCGATTTAAAAAATTGATTCAACGTAGAAATGGACTATCAGTTTTTTAAATATAGAACTCAGAAGAGTTCATTGGTTCAAATGATTGGTTAGCAAGTTTGAATCCATTTAGTTGGCTTTAAAAAGAACCTCTCTCTCTACAGTCAGGTTATCATGTTTTTATTCTGAAAATGATGAGCCAACCTAAACTCT